TCAGCTAACTCTGATGTCAGCTCCAATATTCTGATTGCAAGCTACAGTAATACTGGATTGGGATCACATTTGGCGGATGTTGTTGGTAGAGTAAACTAATTACGGTGCACCCGATTACCAACAACGGCTATTGTTATTAATATAAATTGAAGGAATAAGATCTCAACTTGGGGGAAAAAAAGATTATGTGATTAAGTACGGATTTATTGATATGAAGATGTAAGCAAAATGATAATTATTATGAAAATAATAAACAACAATGATTGGGCTAACCCGGTGTCCATAACTGGGTGGTGTGAGTCCAGGAGTAATCCTCAAAACAACTTGAAAAAATTGATTGTTTTGTCCAAAACAACCCCCAAAAAATTGTTCGGCTCATCCTTTTGAGACAAAATTCGGGGTACGAATAACCCGAAAAGTGGAGTCAAATCAACCCATATGAGGTCGATCACTTTTTGACCCATAATTAGGTTATTTTTGACCAAACCGTGAGCATTTAGAAATACAAAGGATGAGCCAAGCGTGGATCTTCTTACATTAATTAATCTTGGGACAAATCAAAGGGTGCAGGAAATAGTAGATGGGCTTGTGCAATAGTTTTACATTTGTGGTTTTGAAGAGTGGAGCGGTGCGTGTCTTCAGGCGTCTTGGAAAGGGGCACATTCCAGAAGTGAGCGTCTCTGCGAACCATTAGCGTAAGATCTTGTATCAGCGTTTGGCTCAGGTGATGGCGGTGCGTGCAGTTTGTATTGGCAGCGTGATAATTATCGGGACGGGGGCCTACTTTCACGGACCACATCCTTTTTGGCTGTAACTTCACAGCGCCGAGGCTGTAATTTGGGGTCTCCGGGATGTTGCAAGGGATGCCAGAAGACTTCACATCAAGGACAACCGTCGAGGAAATTACATTTGTACCAAAGGATTTTTGGCTGGCCTGGACGCTGGAAAGTTGTCTTTAACGGATACGAAAATTATCACTTTAGAGAGCGTCGATGAAACTTGAAGAGTTAGGAGGATATTTTGGTTTCTCGTCTTTTTTTTTTTTTTTAAAGGGAAAAAGTAGTAGCGTTATTTATTCTTATTATTCTTCTTGTTATATGTTTGTATGGATGTATTATTATGTATTAAGTGGTCACATTTGTAGTAGTGGTCGTAGATGTTGCAGCTTGTAGTACTGTTTTATTTTTATTTCTTGTTATTGGTAGTAGCAGTTGTCATAGTAATTGTACTATAGTAATATTTTAAGTCTAATACAATATTTAATCCTGAAGCAAAATGTTGTTTGTGTGTGTTTTGTACATGGGGTGCACACGTTCCTAAACCCTCATGTTTATTATTTTAAGATAAAGAAAATGCTCGCACGTGTCTCACGTCAGATGGACTTTTTTCCCCAAATGCCAATTAGCCCCAAAATGATGTAGCCCGTAATTTAATTTGGCTGGCGTAGTAATGCTTTGTTTGCGTCGTTCGTTCATTTTCCATTATGCAAATAAACTGTGTCCCAAGGTTAAATGGAAGCCAAATTTGTTCGACTTATCTTAATATGATCATAAATACAAGAAGCATTGGTTTTCTTATCTAATTCCTGATTTTGACAGTGAAATAATAGTTAGCAAAAACCGGGGTGGGGGGGGGGGGGCTTTTAAAGCGAAACATTAATCATCTGCGTATATGTGAAAGTGGTTTACAAGCCAAATGGAAAGACGGCATCAGAGCCAAGCCTTCATGGGGCCACTGAGACCAAAACACCGTTGAAGACCATTTTGGATCCAAAGGCCTTTTTGACTTGATTTCACGTTGTCTCACATTTCCAATCAAGGAGCGATTAGCCCCCGACATTAATGGGCCTGCTAATCCGTTTAAGCCTCTCGTGATAACAGTTAATTGTGTGTAAAAATGTGTACAGATCCCCCCCGTTTGGGTTGTTTACTAACTGATTTGGATGCGGTTAGGCCCTAAAGAGGTATCATTATGTTGATGGTTCCGTTGCAAAATGAGCCCCTGATGGAGGCAACGTCAATGAGGGGAGTTAACAACGCCTGAGCAAATGGAATACGGGCTGAAGATAACATTTGGTTGTCATTAAACCTCATTCGGCCTCATTAATTTTTTTTCTTACGTTTTGAAACAAACTGCAGCAATATAAAACTTTGTAGGAATGTAAAGGCAATTTTTTTAAAGTAACATTTTATCAGTCTTACCTGTCATACAGTAGAAGTGTGAGAATATCGGACTTTACTCCAAGGGAACTTACAAATGCACAACTACGGTAAGGCGGAATGTTGCGAGAATAAAGTTGGGGTTTAGGGGGAAAAAAGAAAAAAAAAAATATATATATATATATTTTTTTTTTTTTTTTTACCAAAATATTGCAACCCTTAACTGTAAAACACAGCTGTAATGTAAGACAGAATGAAAGGTGAAAGGAAAAAAGTAAAGGAAAAATCAGAGCCTTGGAACAAATTTTCAATGTCGTAATCTTATGTGAGCACAGTTATTTTTTTCATGTGAAAGAAAATAACATTCTAGCAGTACAAGTGTAAACGTGGCTGTACTATTATTCCACAAAACGCTACGTTTTACAAGAATCAAGTCAATGTTATGAGCAAGTGCGTGCAATAATATTGACATGGAAAAAAAAATCACTGTTCAGAAAAAGTGAAGCATTGAACATGTCATAACACTAAAGCAAAGTTTTGACTCTTAAAAGTTCACTTTTCCCCCCACGATATTATTCTCGCACAAATGTAAAAATAAGTAAAAAAAAAAAAAAAAAAGAAAAAGAAGGGGGCAAAATGCATGTGTTATTTTCGAGTAAAAAAGTAAAAAAGCCAAAGAAAAAGCCAAATATAGGCACATAATTGATGCTTTGGTGCTTATTTGCTTCTATTTATAAAAATGGTAAACAAAGCACTATGATAGCGTGCTGAATAGGCACCTGCGTTGCCACGTCTTGTATTTCAAGATACTATGCGTGTGTGTCAGTGTGTGTGTGCCAACGCGTGTTTGTGCATGTGTGTATGAATTGAGGCCACCGGAGAGTGCAACCTTGGCCGGCCTGTTTGTTGTGACACTCAATTTATTGGGCGGTGATTTGAGGCGCGGCTTCTTATTACAAAACTTTTTGTGTCCTTGCACGACAGAAATTAGCTGCGGTGCGCGTGTGTAAATCACTTGTCATGTGCACAGGCTCTTTTAAGAAAAAAAGGGCCCAGGGTGTCATTTGACGCCTCGCCGCCGCTCTTTCATATTTATGCGTCTCATATTCACAACCAATGGGCTATCCATCAACACTTTTTTGTATTTATTTTTTATCGCCATAGCACCAACAATGCAGACATAAACTGTTTTTTTTTTTTTTTTTTTTACGTCAGCAAAAAATTGCTCGCGCAAGTGAAATTGGAGCCTCTTTATTTGTCTGTGTAATAAACTGTATAAATTAAAAACAATAAGCGGGGACATTTTACATTTGCTCACATCCTTGGGGCTCGGGGACCTTTCATGAAAATTGCCACACAGGCCATCGGGCGGGGAGGCAGGGGGGTTGCTGTTTTATGAAATGCAAGTGACAAAGTAGCAACAATATTGCAGCTCAAATAATGAAAAGTCAAGGATGACCAAAACCCAAGAGAGTATATCCCTAAAATAAGGTCATTATTCAAACATGTGTCAAAGGAGCAATGTTTATTCGAGTCAAGTCGTGTGTGTGTGTGTGTGTGTGTGTGTGTGTGTGTGTGTGTGTGTGTGTGTGTGTGTGTGTGTGTGTGTGTGTGTGGGTGTGTGTGTTCAGGGTTAAAAAGAACTCTTACCTGTCGAGCAATGTGTCTACAAAAACACATCTGACTTTTGGGAGCATGTATTCTTATTTAAGCCTCCTCGACAATATAAACACTGCGCCTAATGAAAGGGCTTACACAAGAGACCCAAGAAAATTGAGAAAATACATTGTTGTGCTCAACTGTACTTTTGGGGAATCCACATTCATTGGTTCTTTTCAAAAGTGATCCCGCTTCTCAGTCTTTGCAGTCAAATTCTGCTCATGTGCATCATTTAGATTTTGCCCCATATTCACAACTTTATTAAAAAAAAAAAAGTACAAGAGAATGCAGTTAAAAGTGCAAGGGTGAGGAGGTGCCTTCCTCGATTTTGTACACTCAAACAGAATCCGTTGCCTTTGGCCCGCTTAGGGGCAGAAGGTGAGCGGCGCACACGAAAGCAGCAGCAATTATTCGTCTCTGGCAAAACAACAGAGAGCAAAAGGAGCATCAAAGGCTTTTCCTCTGAGCGAAAAAGCGTTCCCTCAGAGGAAAAATACACAACCTATGTGTGCAAATACCAGCGCATGGACTTTTGGGGTCTCTCCAGAGAGATGTGAGGTAAGAGTGTGTCAGTGTGGGTGGAAAAGGTACGGTTCATCGCCACCTTGAAGATATGTGTGCATTGGTGCTCTAAATAATGTGGATGTCCCCATAGTCAGTTGGATCCTTCAAAAATCAACAGCCACCTTTGTCGGTTCCCATTAAAAAAAAAAAAAACAAACATTTTAAAAGATTTTCCAAAAATTACAGTTTATCAAAATACTGAGTCTAGCAACAATGGCCACTTCAACCTGAATAAAATGCACAAAGAATTTTGAAAATCGGATGATGGGCTCTCGAAAAAGTTATAAATTTTTTTTGGGGGGGGGGGGGGGAGTGGGGGCAAAGATAAATTGTTGGTGTGTTGGATCACCGTTAGAAAATCTAGACAAAAATGCCTTCAAATTAGAACAAAACAGTAAAACTTCATTTATTTATTTTTTATTTCTCAGCATATATATCCTGAACTCTATACTGTATCCTGAGAGAGAGAGTGTGTGAGAGAGAGAGAGAGAGAGAGAGAGAGAGAGAGAGAGAGAGAGAGAGAGAGAGAGAGAGAGAGAGAGAGAGAGAGACAGCTCAAAATGGGCTTTGGTCACGTATTTCCATCAGGCATATTTTGAAGCACACCCTTAAATGTGTTGGGTCCTTCCAACCCGGAAGTGTTGTCACGTGTAGTTGTAAACAGGCACTCGAGCACCGGCAGGCTTGGAATGTTACATTATTCAATATTACAGTGATACCTTTGGAATAAATACCGAAAGTATATGTGAAGATGAAAGTAGTCGCTTTAATAAGGTAAACGGCATGTCATTGCTCTCTTTAATGTTATTAAAATTTATTTGAAACTAGATATAGTGTATTTCATTTCATCTTCATCATTTAAACGGTAGGAAGTAATGGAACAGTCGTGACTGTACTTACTAAGTATTGGTGCTTCTTGGCACCTCTGCATTACTACCAATAATGCAGCGGTGCCAATAATGCAATAGAACACAATAATTGCTGAATTGTATTTGAAACAGGAACATGGCATGTTACACATTAATATGTGAGCTATTATGACACATACATACATACCTGTAGTGAAGATGCGGTTATTTGTGTTATGGCTCCAGTGGAGGCAAAGACAGCTGTTACAACATGATGCAGTGTGTGGCTGCTGGGCATCACATTGTCGCTCTGGCCAACCTACGCCCTGCACACAAAGGTGAGGATGCATTGTGTTGTTGTGGTTTGCAGTGGTGTAGAAGTGCACGTTCGAAAATATAGTTGCCTTTTTGGCTACATAAGAGGGGCAAAACATTGAGCAGAACATCTCTCCATCTGCAGTAGACATGCAGGTGCACTTAATGTTAAGTGTAGCAAGTATACATCAAAACATAATTGCTTTAAAAATATCAATTTTCGCAAAAATATTTCTTACAATAAAAAACAGCATAAAAAGACAAATACACATATTTAATCTATATTATTTATATCCATTCATCCATATCTCTTTTATTGATTAGTTGTCTACTGTGATGCCTGCGTTAATATACACATAGTATATTTAATGTTTTAATATTTTACTTTTACATTGTATTTTGTTATTTTGTGTTTGTGTGTGTTTTTAGCATGATTGTGACAACAGTCATTTTTTGTAAAATAGGGACTAAGGGCGGCTATCCTGGCCAGATTTTTTTTATTTTTGTTTGCATAAAGCTGGAATATTTGTATTTATTTTTAAAATATTATATTTAGTATACATGTTTACAGTATATATTATATTTATTTTTTATCACTCATGTTACTGGGATACTTATAACTCTGTTTTTGTTTTTCCTCGTGGCACGATTTTAATTGGCTTTTTTCATCGTGCCACTTGTCAGTTTGATCATTTTCTCGACAACTAATAAATAATAATACCTCATTTAAAAAGATGGCAGTTTCATTTAAATTCTTCACGTCATCACACCTTGTCTCCCCCCCTCCGCAAAACGTCACAGATGAACTGGACAGTTACATGTACCAAACAGTGGGCCATCAGGCCATCGAGCTGTATGCTGAGGCCATGGACGTGCCCCTTTACCGACGCACCATTCAGGGCTCCAGCTTGGACACCGGCAGAGACTATCGGGAGACGGACGGGGATGAGGTGGAGGATCTTTATCAACTGCTAAGCCTCGTCAAGGTACCTCTTGCCCTGCACTGCTTTGCCTTGAAACATTTGGAATGTGCCGCGCATGTGTGAGGTTCTGAAATCAATTCCCAGTCATGCATATGGAGAAATCATGATGTATTCTTTTTATAGAGACACTAAATTTGCAGTCTTGTTGACATGGAACAGAAAGTTTCACAGCACACCAAACGCATGTAACTCTTCCACTTCCAAAGCATGTTAGCTGACATGTGCTCCGCTGACCGCTCTTCACGTTTGTCGAGCTCTCCGAGCGCCACTAAAACTTCTCCCGGCAGCCTAGGTTCACGACACATGTCACACCGCTGAGATGTTTTACAAGTCCTCCTCCTCTTTGGATTTTTACTCACTTAGTAGCCCATTAGTGCCGTCTCAGAGGGGTCTTACTTGTCTGATTCCATTTGGGCCCGCTCAATGGCCACGGTACTTTTCGCCTATGTTATAAGTGCTGCTAAACTGCACGGTCAATGACAAAGTCATGTCGGTGCTCTGAATCTGTCGTACTAGGTAAGTCACTCTCAAAGTGCTGTATTGCGTAATTAAAGTTTTATCTAGAAAGTTGGAACTCAATGCTTTCCACGACAAAATGATGATCCCTTTACAAAAATAAATTCACATTCTATTTAATTTTGCCCTTTTGGTAATATGACTACATATGGGTTTTTTTTTAGGATTTGGGAGTTCACCAAAATCGTGGTTTGTAAAAAACTACTTTTACAGGATAGGCTGTCACTTACGTGCCATTTCAACCCAAGCGCTTTTTAGCCAATCAGATGGACGAAGAAAGCAATTTCCAGAAGGTGTCTCGTGACAATCATGGCCAGTCGAATGGACGTGGGAATACATTGAAGTGAAAAGTGATTAATCTTGAACAGCGTACAAAATATACGTGCGGACTGGCTAACCTGAGCTAACAATAGCCTCCTATTAACATTCCCCCGACCAGGCCCTTTCTTTTAAAGACACACACATTCAAAGTCACAGATGCTGCTGTGTGGATTGTGACAATGGCGACCCCAAATTATAAATGTATACATATTATATTTTGTATTCGTATCAGTAATGATAAATATTTTTTTATCGGATTAATTGGTGGGATAAAAATAATGGATACTTAAAACCATTCAGTGTCTGCTACCCAAGTCCACACTGTCGCTCATTTTTTCTGCCAACATTAAAATTTCTTTCGAGTCGTCGTTGTGAATGAGAGAATGTGTTAGCGGGAAATTTGAAGGGGGGGAGCCCCCCCCCCCCACACACACACACACACATTTTAATGTAAGTTTTTCTTTTTCTTGACACTTTTTTTTTTCTTGACACTAAGCTTTTAAAAATTCTAGATGCTGGGGCTGACCGAATTGTGATGTAAATTCCAACTTTGACCCTATTTCTGACAGCGTTGTACGCATGCTTTTGGTATACGATATACTGTCATCCCATCTTCCTCTTGGTCAGGCCTCTATAATTGCAAAAAGGCTGCTAATTTCACCATTCCCAAGGCTTCTCAGCGCTGACCCCTCGGTCACACAGGCCATAGATCACGGCAGTTGCAGTCCCGCGGGTCCCCCTGGTGGGTTCTCAGACCTCCAGTGATCACCTCGTTTAGCCCTCGCGCCGTCATCGGCAGACCTGCAACCATAAACAACGGGCTGCCTCCATCTTTTGCTTGCTCTTGCTGAGTGAAGTCAGCCAAAAGGACAACTTTGGGATTTTGGATGTCAGTCTTTTTTGTTTTTTTTTTTTTGTTTTTAAGTTTTCACTCACATGATGGTAAATTGGATGGTTTGCGGAATACATTATTTCAAATAAGTCTTTTTGCTATGCTCAACACATATGCAGTAAAGTTGAGAAGTGAGAACACCCCCCTCCCACCCCCCACTCCTTTTAATGACAAGCTGTTGACTGGAATAAGTTATATACGTAGAAAAAAAAGGAGTTCTGTTCATAAAGTGTGATGTTTTGAAAGATTCACGAATTAATTAGAAGTTACAAGATTATATTTGGCAAATGACACCACAGCAAAAGATGAAAGATTTCTCCTGCAGTTGATGAGTTTCAGTGTCACAGCTTTCTTCCCGCCTTCCTCCTGCTTTTTTTTTTTTAATTTTTTTTTTAATGCCAACGTGAGCCAACAGTGCCCTCTATGGACCCAACAGGGAAGTGGATCCTCTCGAGTTGCATGTTTGGGGCCATTCAAAAGGAATCAAAGGAAGAGATCATATTCTTCAGAACCTTTTGTTGACAGAGAGGAGAGGAAGAAGAATCCCAATCATAATAGCGGAGGGGGTCAGGAGTAGGGGGGCCGCGGGGTCGGGGGATGAGCCATCCATCTGCTGGCAGCGGCGCTAATGACAGCAGGACAATGCGGCCCTATCCTCGGCCTCTTTGCTCTCACCGCTGGCCGTGCATGGCGGCGTACCTTTGAACTATGTAACCCGATCGATGTGCAGTGGGCCAGCCGCCCAGCCCATCCTATCCTATCCGATCCCATCCCGCAAGGTGCTCGTCTTGTTTTGGGGAAGGAAAAGGAGACGGGACAAAAAAAGAACCCTCTCTTTCTCCTCTCGGGCTATATTTTTGTTTATTAGATGACATTTGTGTGTCCTAAGTAAGGATAGACGTTTCGGACTCAGTGTCCTAGATGAGGAGAATAAATCAGCAGTTAATCAGGTAATTGTTTTTTTTTTTTTTTTTAATGCACTTAGAGTGCACTTAGTTGCCGGGTTCAAATAATTTTAGATTGCAAATAAAATAGTAAGTACAAAGGAGTGTCTGGGAGACACAGAATAGTAAAAGTGAATAAATGTCGTAATCATATCAGAATAAGTTTTCATGTTGTCATTTGAATGTCTTCATTCCTGACATCAACGTAGAAGTCTGAGATCAAGAGACCTGTCAAATATTATTGGGTGGTATTCTTAAATATTTATGATCATAATGTTACAATTTTATCATTGCGTGGCTTTGACTTTATTCTTCTTAGATCCATTTTTTTTTGTTGTTGGAAATAAATGAATATTTTTGTAAGGTAAAAATTTTTTTGTTTCAAAAAAACGATTACCGGTACTTTTATTTCTCTGAAAATTGAAAATAAATTCTCTGATGGTTAGATTCACTTGATTGTTGTTTTCGTACCACACGTGTAAATTTATTAAAATAGTATGGCTTTAGTCTCAGAAAAAAAAAAGACTTTATTTAGGTTTGGGACTTTTTGCTTTACTTTATTCCCATTACAGTTTTGTTAAATAGAAAAATTGGACTTCTGGTAAGATTACAACATTTTTTTAAATACTATTAGGACTTTTTTCAAGTAGTATTCTCACAAAGCATTTTTTTTAATCTTCAATAGTACAATGTTTTTCCATGTCTTTTTGATTCTTTGAACAACACTCAAAAAAAATGTATCTTTTCTAACAAAACAGAGTGGCAGGGGGAAGTACAGGTGGCAATGAAAGTGGGTAGAAACTAGAACGAGAGAGACTCAATTGAAAGTTTTCAACTCCCGATGATGTAGATTACTATTGCCCGGAGTAGTTGAACCGGTGGATGTTGGTCCACGAGCGACGCCGTGCTTTATTTTGCCTCAATTGCTTCAAGATGCAGTTAATCCATTCATCCTAACTCTGCCCATCCTAAATCTGACGACTCTTACAGAGCTTTGCTTAAATATTCTTATTGTGGATTTTAATGGGGGCGGGGGGGTAAATCATACCACGTATGATTCCATACTCCACGGGTGTGTGATCCGCTCTGATGTGTGATACAGATCAGCAGTGTCAGTCACCCCTGGCTGTAACGCTCAGTCCCTACTCCCCCCTCCCCCCTCCGCTCCCACCCCAACCCCCGAAGGCCTGCAAAACCCCTCACATTAGTCGTATCACATCCCTCAAATCCTTTATCCTTCTCGCTGTGCTCTGTGACCTGACACGGGGGGCTTTTTGTGCCCCATGACCCCCTGCTTGTGCACATGTATGTGGATGTGTGGATGTGTGTGCTCAAGGTCAGGTAAAAGCTGAGCTCTCTTGTGTGCCGACAGATCCAGCTCGCCTGTGTGCTCACTCGCCCCCTACTTGTCTTCTTTATGTGGCTTATGAGCCTTTCATAATCGGTACGGTATAGCGTATATACAATTTTTTATTTTTTTTAATGAGATTTTTTTTTCTTCTTTTTGACTTTGTCAAGCATGAATACAGTGGCGGAATTACACCCGAAAATACAAAACTGATTCCTTTTGGAAGGCTACTGTATTCCATTTTAGTGAATATCTCGATAAGGGTGCAAGTCCATGAACATATTGCAACCGTTTCATTTTGCTGTAATCCATTTTTACTCCACCTGCCGAAATCAAGTCACCGATGGAGTTAGATGACCAAATTGTCCTGGAAATAATCAGTTTCTGGATTATTTCAGGTTTTCATTTCATTGTTTTGGCCTCAAAAGGTTTTTCATGCAAATGTTTACCGGAATCATGACTGCATTCCCGTGCTAGCATAGGTGAGTGATCGTTTATGACACATTCCGACTTTCTAATTTGAGGTTTGTCAAAGGTTCCTTCATGTCATAAACAGAGGAACAATCCTGCTTATGCCACCACATTGTGCTGAAAGCGATGTTGGTGTCCAAAAAGCATTTCATTCTTGCTGACCCTGACGTCATCACGCATTTGCCATGGACACACTCCAGTTACTAAAGTAATCCTGCATTTGCTTGGTTCTTGCACAAACAGCAAATATGACGAGGGATTTATTTGTATAAGATGCTGATAACATATATCGAACTGTACCAAACCGAAACCTGAACCCCAAGTCCACAACGCAGGAAGTAATCCTAACGAGACTTTTATTGGTGGTACCTATCCTTCTTTTCCTGTCATGGCATGGCGAAAGCTACCAAACTAAAACTTTTTGCATTGCATTTGCACTGCTGTTCAAGCTTTAGAAGCTTCTTTGCGACCACACAGTGGCAAAAAAAAAAAAAAAAAAAATGCAACACTC